GTAATCGGTACACGAAGTATAAATATATTAATATTTTGACTTGACTGTCAAATTGATACAACATAATACGTATTGTGACCGGAACTATCATCCCAGTTTAAAATTCAAAAATTTGAAACTTATTTTCATCAGGAGAATCTCCTACATTTATTCATAACATTTTTAAGAAAATATACTGATAGGAGTAAAAGTTTAAATGTTTATTCACGACATCTTCCTTAGCAGGAAGGTCTACTCTATCGCATGCTATAGTTTGATTTTCTTCTAGACCCTAAGTTTTTGAATTAAATTGAAGAATATCAGAAAAAATTGATGCGTTTTCGGTATCCTTCTCACTTTAATTATTATTTAAACATATTTAGATGTCTATAATATAATAACAATTTACATCATTTTGTTCGGAAGATTCCAGAGAATTCTTTCGTGGCAAAGGTAACTGCAAAAAAGCATAACACCTCCAAATTTGAAATTTTGTAAAATTAATTTTTTCGGGAATTGTACGTGGTGGGAAAAAATGATATGCAGATTCTCATTCGGCTCATAAAGATCTCTATCATGAATGCTTTTAAAGATTATGAAGTCGAGCATAAGTTAAAATTTGTTGAACAGTGTAATTACCGGGATTGATTGATGGACTTATTTATTAGGAACATTGAAGAGAGCAAGGAAATGAGTGTAGGGTGGTGGTACATAGGAAAGAGAACGTAAGAAGAGCTGGTGGAAAAGAATGACCTATAAGTTGATGCATACGACGTGTCGGGTGTTTTATAATTGTGTTTTTCCGATGAAGTGTATAAATCATGCTTTTATCATAGAGCACGTAACGATAATTTGATTTTGTCAGACAGCATGTACTTTGTTTATTGCGTCATGTAGCGCGTAATAAATGTATTTGTTATGTCTAACTTAGGACCTGAAGGTGACCTTGAACATTGAAAGAATAATGAAATTCTGAAATTTTATTAGGATGGTATATGAACGTATTTTCCATCGGTGGTGATACACTCTCTAAATCGATAAATCACGGATTGTGATACTGTCCCTGTCTCTTCTAACGTGATAGCCGCACGAAGTGTAAATATTCGATTCTTCGGATCTTCCGGAATGGTAAGTTGCTGTTAATAAACATTTTCTATTTTTGATTGCTCATTTTATTATTTCGTTTTTTTATCAACGGGCAAGTTCACCTCAAGATTATAAGTTAGACATATTTGACTGCACCTTAACACGTGCTACATAATGCAATAAAAAATGGTATCTGGGACAAAAATACCGGCGATCTAAAAAATATCGAAAAAAAAAGATCATAAACAAATATTCCATGTATGCTATTACCCTCCTGAAGCCATTCAAACTGTGTTTGAAATATTCCTCGTATCATTAAAAATAATGGAGATATTTAGGCGTTTGGTCTCAGGTGGGACACCCTGTATACAGAAACATGAAATACGCAGAAATTCATGATACGATCCAACACCTATCATTGCTAAAAAAAAAATTAAAATGGGGCGGTGGCACATACAATAACACTAACATGGGACGCCCGAGTAGTCCTAGCCTTAAATCCACTCAACACCTCCAGGAGATCGTACTGCGTGTGTGTGGGAAGAGCATTCCTTCGAGCGTAAACACCAATACTGGCACCCCGTGGGATGTTGTAGTCGAACCTCACGTATGCAGCTTCCGACTGGTAGAACTGCATGTTCCAATAACTATATGGTGGAATTTCCTTGCTGAGCTTTTGTCCCAAGCCAACCTGGGCAAAAGTCGTTCCGTCAGGGGGGAAAGACCTGGCGGGAAAAGTTCTTGCACCTGGGTAATCGGAAAAAGACGACATTAGTAACGCAAACACAGTGTTGATTGCACAAAAACTCAGTTTCCTATAAGGAAGCGTTGTGAATCAGAGAGTTTCTGTCCGATACCCTTGAATTAAACAATAGATAATGATAGAAATTGGCTAATTTTGGACCTCGTTACCAAAAAATACTTTCTATAGGATATATATCAACAAGTTTTAAGGAGTCTGAAATGCATAATTATTATGCGGGAGCTGATGAGAAAGTTATAATAAATACTTGTACATTTTGGAATGTCGCCGTCAGTAAAACTCATGCGATTAATGCATTTCGTTGTCATCATCTTCGGGTGACAATAATCATTCAATAAATCAGTAAGTTTCTGCTAGGTTAATATTGAATAAAACTAAGAAATCATAAAATTTTTATTACGTTGGAACAATAACTGATATTGTACTCACAGATAGTAACAGTTGATACTTGATTTAAATATTCATGAAATGACTATATAAATAAAAAATTTTAAATATAAAATAAAAACGTCTAAATGGACGTCGAAAGAATCTAACTGAACAAGCAGATCAATCCCGTCTTGTAACGAGAATTCATTATATTTCACGGATAATATTTGGACGCATGGAAACTTGTTTATGACCTCTACGAGTTAACGAATTTTCTTTGTAAGATAAGTTTAATTTCTTTGTTCAATCGTTAAATTCTTTCGACATTTATCTAGATGTTCTTTTACTTGCATTTATAATTCTTTTCTTTATAGTTTATTTATTTATCTATAATTTATTTACAATCTATATCATTTTTAAACATTAAGGTGCGTGCCCTTTAGACATTTTTAGCTATTATAAAGTCAAAATGCGGATCTTCTGTAGCAATTTTACTTTTTTCTTGTATAATTAAATCACGTATCATCTGTTATTGTGTTCGAGTACAAATATAACAACAATTTTATGATTTCTCAGATATACTCGACACCAATCTACGACGAACTTAGCTGCCGATGTTTTGAATGATTATTTCGCTGATGTATCACCATCCCAAGCAGATCACGACGAAACACGTTAATTTGTTTATTATAACTTTCCATTCGGACACCTAAAAACATCTAGAAACATAACCTGTATAAAGTTTTCGTTGATCGCGAAGTTCAAAATTGGCCAATTGCTAACATTGTTCTTTCTTAAACAATTAGTGGAAAATAAATTTTTTTATACAAGTGGTGGATTGTAAGTCCTGAAACAACCAATCGGCGCACTTTTCTAAAATTTACAATAAGCTTTAATTTTGCAACTAAAATTTGAAGGAAACCCGTGTATGTCGTTGCTCATGTAACAGTAAAGAGAGTGGATTAAGTTATCATTTTGTCATTATCGAATTTTGCAGTTTTCCTCCAGAGTGGTGAACTACCTTTGATTAAATAATTTAAAAACAGTCAGTATAACAACTTATACGTTCCACGAGTAACCCTGATAACCAGTCGTGTACAAGTTTCGAGCAAATTGCCAGCCAAAAATGACAAAAGTTGTCTAAAAAACCATAAGCATCTGTTTGCGCATTTGACTTGGGCTTTGCAGGCACCACCAGCTGACAAAATGGTGAAGCAAATGGGCAGAAAGTCTTGCAACGTGACCTATGTCAAATTGAGGGTAAAACCGGAACAAGATTTACGCAAGCCAATTTACTGCATATGTTGTTGCCAATTTGCTACCTATGTTGATATCAATGTGCACACAAATTCTTTATAGCAAATCTTGCAACAAACTTGTAGTCGTAACTTTATAACAGGCATTGGACAACATTTGGCTTTGCAGGTTTGGCTGACTGGGAATAACATTCTAGACATAGACTATAAACAGTAATCGATTAAATATAAAATGAATTCACATGACAAATTTACAAAACATTACATTTTTATACGACCAAAGTGAAGATATATATTTTCATGCTCATTTGAAGAGTGAACAAAACATTCTGAGTGTATTCAAAATTCCATTATTCATACCGAACTTTGTTTTCGGTTGTACTCACAATTACTTCTTGTTGTGTATTTACATATTTATTAACGTTATTATGTAGTTGTGAATATTCCTCGCAAGAAAACTAACTATTCACTTAAAGTAACATCGATACACATATAAATGTTGTGTAAAGTTATGTGCAGCACTTTACATGAATTAACCATTAGTTACAACTTCAATTACTTTCATCATATGATTCTACTTTGGGCAAACCTATTCGCGTATTTTTGTTTCCTTACCGCTTTCCGTTCCCTTCATTTTTCATGACATAATAAAACATAAATAGAAGTGATTCATAGAAGTATCGGTTCAATTTATAACTAATAGTGTTTCATTAAAAATATGAGAACACTTAGTCAAACTCGAATCACAATGCACCTGTACCATATTAAAATATTACATAAACTACTAAGCTAACGCAATCAATGTTGCAGGCAAGAAAATCCAACATACGACGGTGATCAAAAGAAACATTAAAAAATATGCTTCATAATAAGAAAATTATACATATGATTTCATAGAAAGACAATGAAGGCAATTAAACAATTAATCAAATTTCTCACATTTTTTTAATATTAATGCTTGTTACCACTGAAAGTTTGAAAGTAGAAATACATCATTATGTGTAATAAGTTTCAAAATATTATATTCTTCCGTGAGATTTATTTAGTTCTACCATATTTAATACATCTATTACACCTTTTCAATCTCTTGCCTGCTTACCGTAATAATACATACCTACTATGCAAGTGAAGTCAATTTATTAATCACGAGTTTTGTATTGACGTTAACAAAAACCATAAACATAATTTTTTCGTCAAACTAATAATAACGGATATGAATATATAAAACAATTAATTTATTATTATTCATGAAATCTTTCTATTTCACTTCTTGTACAAGAATATTAAACTTTCTTTACCCACCATTTTTCACGAGTCAGCATACATAAATTCAAGCAAAATAAAAGCCAGCGTAGCAGAATATATAAAAGATTAATAAGTCCATACACACCAGAGTAAGAAGGATTTACCACACACAGAAACAGATAAAAGCTTAAGATACGTAATTAGTTAAGATTGGAAATCAACCATAAACGTGGCCTCACCTTCCAAGATTAGTATAGTGGGTTCAGGGGGTAACGGAATTGCCCCTGAACACGCTGGCTCGTTACGTTCAGTTTGGTAATTCGTGGTGGTCCATTCCGTGGTGTCGTCATTTTCCTTTGTCGTTACGAAATTATTCTCGACGTTCGTTCCTACCGAATCCTTCGTACTCGTCGAAAACTCGTTTTTCTTATCCCGTTTTTTTCCTTTTCCATCAATCCTACTCGTTGTTCTCCGATCAGATGTTTCGTTCGTCAAGAGGCTCAAGTTATCGGGATCTTGGTAGAAGTTCAAATTCTCCTCGATGACTGAAAAGTTGTCCCACTCATCGGATGATGAACCCATGCAGGGGCAGGAGCATTCGCATTCACCTCCGGCCCAGATGGGCAGTGGAGGGGACGAAGGCGGTTGAGGTGGTGGAGGAAGTCGGTTATCGTTCTCCATCACCGCAGACTTTACGACATTTGCCATGCTTACGTCCCGAGTGTTTTCGTTCGCGTGTAGTGGAATTTTCTCCGCGTTCACCCGTGAAGATTCAGCGTTCGTTGGCACCGAAACTGACAGAACGTAAAGCGGTTTCCAGGCTGCAGAGTCTCCAGAAGCGATTGTTATGTTCACAAACACGCGAGATGATGATAGTGCGGATGTGGATACCGAATCGGAGTGTTTGTCGATAGGTACGTCAACGATATTCACGTGTTGAACAACAGGTGGAGATTCTGATTTAGAGGAAACTTCTAACTTTTCGGGAACATTATCATCCTTGGCGAGGGTGTCCTCGATGTGATTTGTTTCGGTGGATTTCTCCCGGAACTTGTTCTCGAACTCTCGTAGGAACTCTTCGTCGTTCTCTTCCTTAGTGATCACACGCAGATCACTGACTTGATGAACGGCAGAAGGGACATTAAGTACTTCGAAGCCGTGTTGTCTGGCTTTCACCGTGATATCATCGCTCTTCTGATTAAGGTTTACGATTTTGACTTCTTCTTGGCCGTAATTATAAATCGGTGAAGGATAGTCTCGCTGGAGTTTCTCGGATTTTTCGGAGCTCTTCGCGTGACTGTGTATATCTGACTCGGAGGAGTCTTCCCGGGAAAGTTCTCGAGTTTCCTTCACGACGTCCGAAAAATTGGAAGCGTTTCCAGGATTTTGTGCTTCGTCCGCAATGTATTCACTTTTCAAACTAGTTTCTCCCTCTTTGCTACTTATATCGTCTGTCTTTACCTCCCCCGAAGATTCTGACGAATAATTCAGTTTCATTTCCAGCGGTACAGTGTTTTCATCGAAATTACTTACACTTGAGGGTCTAGTGAAAGCTCCACGATGATCAAACTTGTTAACGGTCGTAGTATCTACACTCTCAATCTGCTTAATTGAGTCTGTATTCTCCTCTACGAACCCTACGCTACTACTAGCACTACCGTAGTCATCGTTGGTCGAAGATTTCAGAGTTATTGACACGTCGTCCTTAGTACTGATATCTTCCGCAAACTTCAGCAACTCTGCATCGGGCGACGACGCTTGGTTAACATAACCTCTAGAGACATCTGAACTTCCAGTGCGTTCGACGTTACCATCGTTCATTGAACCACCAGATCGGGTAAACTCATCGATCGACACTTCCTTAATATCGTACCCGCGATTCTTTGTGGTAACTGAATTAGTCGTGGCAACGATGGAAGTGTCCGTGTATTCTTCACTCGACGTGATCCAGGTCAATTCCGAGCTACTGCTGCTCTCATACTCAGCCCGAGTCTCGAAAGGTCTGTTTACCGATGGGTTAAGTGAAACGGGGGAGGAAGTGGAGGACGATGAAGCGGACGAACGATCGGTCGGAGGGTTAGATGCAGCAGAGACAGAGGCTTGGTCGACAGAGACAGTTGTATGAGTCGAATTGTGGGAATCATTAGTAATCAAAGAATCAGAGACATTCAGGGCAAGCATTGTCCCCAGAGGTCCTGTCGATTCGGATGGTTCGAATACGTCTCCGAATAGGTTGTCGGCGTTGTTGGTGGTTTCTTCCACCAGAGGATCATCCGCATGCTCTATTTCATGCACAACCTTACCAAAACGACCGTTGTTTAAAGAGATCGTTTGCCGCTCGGACCACGAGATCTCTTCCGGTGCTTGGGTCAATGGCAGCTCTTCAGAGTGTTTAGAGAATGCGACAGTTTGGTGCAACGCATGCTTGTTAAAGATATCCCTACGTTTACGGGTGTACACGTGCTCTAACATGCTAGCCGACGGGTTAATACTACCTCCTGAGGACGCCTGTTGCCGTGTTCTGCCATTGGATTGTGACGAGGACGCAATTGCTGCCGAGGACGTTTTATTGGTTTCAGCAGAGAACATTTTAGTGTCTGCGTTCTCGCCGACCATCACTGTACACGTTTGTGCACCTTGATAAGACCGGTTCACTGTGCTGGATACTGGAATGTGAAAATCGTTCATTAGAAACTTTGCATGCTTAACTTATTTGTTATTTGGGGTGGTGAACGACGGGAAAATTTTAATTGACACAACACATATTTGACAATGAATGCTATGAGTATTTTTGTACTGGCATTCTGAAACAACTTCGTTTTTCATTAAAGTTAACCGTTACTAATTTTGACAAATTAACTGTTAACACAAAGGACAATGACAGTAAGTAATCAATTTGGACCTCCGACCAACCAAAACATTTTCCAGATTAAGTTTCTAAATGTTTTAAGGAGAAATGCGAAATTACTTATCCAGGAACTGATAGGAATGTTACAAAAAATACACGCAAATTTTGAAATGTTACCGTCATCCAAATTCAACTATCAGCGAAATAATCATTTAGGAAATGGGCAGATAAATTCATCGTAAATTTCGTTACATCGTAAAGATCACAAACACATTTATATGGGTCCGTGCATCATCACTGAGATGTAACAAATTTGTTCATAGAGACGTATTTAATTTTTTTATTTAGAACTTCTTTACTTTCAATTTATCAATAACACTGTTCAACACAATTTTTAATTTGCAATATCCATTGAGGGATCTTTATAGAGTTCTTCGTCCAGATCACGAATCCGTAAACAGAATTTCTCAATCTCCCTCAGTTTTTGAAAAGATGAGCTTTCGTAAAAACACCCAATTTGAGCCAAAAATGACGTATTACGTGAAAAATAAAAACGCCAGAAAGTTCAAGTTAATCTTGAAAAATAGAGGAGAGTTCGCTGCATACAACAGTGTATTTAGTTATTACTATTACATTGTGTAATTCTTACTGGTTGTAAATAGTTGTGAATGTTTAAAAAAGAAGACAGCGTCCTGAGCTTGTCGAAGGTGCACCCTGGAGATGAAATGCGACCCAGCGACGGGCAGATTTATTCAATGTTATTACGTGGTTTTACCTTGAGACGCAACAATTTTCCTTTTTTTCATGGGTATTTATATCAAGTACCATTTATTATTGTGTGCAACAAGAAGAATGTTGCTCCCGCGTAAAAATAATTTTATAATTTTTCGGACATGGGCGACACCACTGCCCGACGAATTTACCTATCGATTTCCTGAATGATTATTTTACTGATGAATCATCATTCGAAGAGTACTATGCTGCAGTACATAAATTTGATAAGTCTTGCTGACGGCGACATTCCGAAGTTTATGTATATTTTGTATAACTTGTCCATCAGCAGCTCCTGCATAAACAATTATGCATTTCGAACACCTTAAAACCAGTAGAAATATGTTCTGAACAAAGTCTTCGTTCAAATTTGAATGTTGTTCATCTTGTACGTCTTGTAGAGCTGAGATATTGACGTACGGAAGGAATGCAGAAGGAATAAGGGTCCGATTGGTAGGAGTCCGATAGGAATAAGGGTATTGGTCAGAGCGGCGATGGACACAGTCGGATCAGATAGCACCGCGTGGCGAAAAGAGTAAACGAGACACACCGAGAGCGAGTGGGATAGAGCGATAACGTGAGCAATAACACGAATGCTCCGTCGAACTTGAAAGTAATGCCGCAACGTCTCAGAGTGTTAACCATTGAGCGGAGTGTACAGTAAAGTCTCCCTAATTGCACGAAACTCAGAACAACATGCGAGCAGTTACGACGGACATAATTTCAACCCATCGCAAATTTCGCGTCGAGCGTCGGCAGTTCGCCTTTGTATTTTGCCGAAAGTGTCCACAAGAAAGCCGACAAAGAGTAGAAATCCGCCTATCGGTGTGACAACGCTAAAATAACAATAAAACTGTCTTGTTCTTGGTTCTTTGTTAATGACAATTTACCCGATCAAAATAATATCAGAAACGGTATAATTTGAATTATATTTACTTGTTTCATAACTCATTTTCTTTCATTATCGCTACGGTTAAATTATAAATGGTCCAGATATATCGTGTTTGGTTTCATTTTCATCAGAAAAATATCATCAGTATGTTAATATAAATTTCATTAACAAGGAACCAAAAATAGAAAGTTTCATTGTTACATTAGTGTTGCCTCACCGATACACGGACGATTAATATTTTTTCAGCTCCCAACGTTCAGCCGTTGACTCGTGAAAGGGAAGCCAGTAGCGTGTTACATTACTCGCTTGGCTGGTTCCAAGGCGAACCCCCTCCCCTAGCTGTGGAGACGATGCGCAAGCAGTAAACGTGGGGGCCTTGCGTGCAGTTAGGGCGATTTGACTGTAGTCGGTGCAACCAATGTCGGGAGGTCGTAAAATTGGTCAGGCGTGAAAGTTTACATGTTTAGACACAATAACAGCGATCAGGGAGTGACAAGAAACTCGAACCATATCCAAAGCCGTCCGATGTCGACTCAGAACTGATTTTTGCTAATACAGCACTATTACCTATACGGCCTATAAAGCAATTATTACCGAACAACAGGCGATAGGCATTTTATGCCGTACAGTGTTAATGAAAAACTGTAGGCAGAAATTTTAAGTATCAATTCACAAATAACTTTTTCAGCCTGACATTCAAGATATATACAGTAAGACGCGTACGACCCTGAGTACGGCTATATCAACAGGTGTGGCCGCTTATCGCTTCAATTTATAATTTCACAATATAGGTTCCATCGACTATATTGCAACCAATCTGAAATTTTTTAAATGTAATGAAATTATAATAAAACTACTAACATAAAGTAATGTCAACTGTACGTTTTGGAACAGCTGTATACGAATATTCCCCGTAGAGATTTAATCATCAGGTATGAACATTCTCCAAATATATATTTATAATAACATTTACAAAGATGAATTGGTGAGTTAATAAAACTTTGTTGAAAAAGTTAGTAATACAAGAAGAGTGTAGTATGTATCTTATGTATGTATATAATGTAAAATCATAAGTGAAATAATGAATGAATATTAAATGTCCTATTAGAAACAAGTACAGTAAAAGCTCCGTGAGAATTTGAAACTTGAGACTGCGTTAAAATTTTCACGGTACACCGCGAATCACCTCAACACTTCACAAATCTATTTTTTGCCCGAAGCCCGAGCTTCGTAACAAAGGCGGCGGGGCAATAAATTGTTCGCTTGACAAATTCCACGCCCCCAGTGGTGATTAAGTAGAAACTCTCACGAGGAACCTCCTATCCAACTCTCGTGGAGCCTTTACTGTAATTGGGAAATTACCAATTATCCAATTTAAGAAATAGAATTATCACGTTACAAGCATAAATTTTGCTTACTACACCAAATCCATTTCGGCTCTAGTCACTCATTTTTCATTTAATCTGCATCTATCTACGACGAATATAAATTGTAGAGTAACTTACCTACGACATAAACTGCAGCCGCCGTTATGCACAATAAGACCATAAGTAATATCATTGCAATTAATTTCCAACTGCACCAATCAACCCCTTTGACAAAATGGCAACGGATGCTTTGTCTCCTCATAGGGATCATCGAGGGCGCGTGGCCGTAAGGTAAGGGTACCCTGTGGACAAGCAAATGTTTATGTTGTTTAACTTTCTTCTAGAATAAATTGTAATTATTTAAATCATCTTTTGTCCCGCTTTTCAGAGTAATCTCCATTTTAATTTCATGAGGTATTCCGAAGAGTAATTCACTACGTTCATAGTAAGATGACATTATAGTTTAAGTTTAACAACGTATACAGTATCAGTGTCTTCGACCTCCTGATGAAGCTAGCTGCAATGCTTGCGAAACATTGGAAAACAATTCCACAAGGACACGGCTTACACCCGAAAGCCTCAACAGTGAGAACTGTATAAAATCAAAGTTAAGAATTTAACTTATACGTCAACAAGAAGTTTGAACATTGACCGTTATAATAATTTGTACGGGTTCTATGCTTCTTGTGAGCATCGCGCAACTAATAACACATGGATTATCCCACGTCAAGTCGATCACTTTTGCACTCGATATCAGGAATTTTATTCGAAATGAAATATACTGTATGGACGGGTTTGCAGCGCGGATCGTCGGGCCTGCGCGGGCCGGGTATAGTTCGGGCCTGCGCGGGCCGGTATAGTTCGGGCCTGCGCGGGCCGGGTATAGTTCGGGCCGGGTCAGTCCGGGTAGAGATAAAATGGCCGGGTGACGGGCGGGCTCAGCCCGCCCAATGCAGAACTCTTGTGTAGTCCTCTCGTAGGGCGGCAGACACTTATCCCAATAATCCAAATAATCGGCCGATGTCCAATAACCTAATGGCGGCTCCTGGTCAGGGTGGGTGAAAACTGTAATCGTGCGCAGTTGCTCGGCGCGGTAAAAGACGCGGTTAGTCGCTATTCAAATATTCGCAAGTTCTCGAGATTCCTCTAGGAGCGTTCGTGTCCCTGTGAGTGCGTGTGTTGAGCAATGTTTTGCGGGGCAGAGGGCGGTCCGGTTCTATACGTACTACGCTCCTCGCTCGCATTTGGAGCGGTCGCATTACGTTGGCAAAAAGCAGCGTAACAATTTACATGCGTTGACACGGTTTTAATAGCGCGGTTGTTTAAAGCGACACGGCCTTTACGAAAATAATATAAATTATAAATATTACTACTTACTTCCACTATATTAAGTTAGTGTCGAGGCATATCCCGACCCGACAAGAATTTTATATAATTATAGAAAAACCAAGTACTTTTATGAATCTAACAGAACGGTGGACGGGGCTTTCCTTTTTTTCGTACATTTACCTTCAAATCGACGCTTCAGGTAATCGGGTAATTTAATTACCGAAGGAACAGTAAGTAGAGGTGATGACTGCTGTGCCTTTTCTTGCCGAATCTCTACCTGACTACTCCTTGAATAATAAAATTGACCAACGACCTCAAGATTTGTGTTAATAAGTAAATGCATGAAAATGTGCATTCGAACAAAGTTATCTACACGTAGGTATAGTAACAATATCATAAAGCAAGTGATAAATGAGTATATGGTTAGAATATATGACCATATAATCTCTCAACATTTTCTCAATAATATGATTACATTATATAACAATGAAAACCTTTATGTATAAACATATATTATATTTATACTATTTTCTTAATGCATATTCAGGGAAACAGGAAACATATTCTTACTATTTGATACATGAACATTCTATATAGGTGTTATTCATTCATTCAGCGGTTTATTTTTCACTACGAGTGGTTTGATTCAACAAAAATAGGAAAGCTCCTTCCAATTTCGTGGACGATGCACGCCGAGCGTTCTCGTGCGCGCAATAGCCGTGTTGCCCCGTCTTCACGAACATTTGCGCGCTGCGAATACGCGCCGGGTCGTTAAAATCGACCCTTCTTGAGGGTCTTCGGTGGAAATTATGTTACATGTTGCTTGAGTGTGGACTGGATTTTGGCCGCGCGCCGTGTTGCGCGTGTTTGTACTCGTTGTTGCACAAATTTGACTTGCTTTTAGTAAGCAGGCAATATAGTATAAACTTATAATACTTGTTAAATAAATTCCCGAAAATAGCGTTGAAAAAGGGGCAGTTACGCTAGAATACCCCCTTGATATCATCCATAGTACAACGGATATCGGGTTTCCGAGTCTATGGGAGGAAAGTGGTCGATCGGACGACGCGGCAGCGCTGTTACCTGAACTTCCGGGTGTCGCGACCTTTGTCAGTCTGATCCGACCACAACTTTATTATGTACACGAATTAAAAAAATGATTTTTGAAGGGGAAAGATCATAGAATACAGACGTTTTGTTCAATTTTTTCAGATGTGACGCGGTGATCGAATTTACATTTGCATTCTAAAAATAATTTTACGTATAAAAGTAATAAATTACTTAAAAAGGACGATCCTTTACGATTAAAATGAAACGAAAATCAAGTTTTCATAAAAATCGATGAAAATTGCCATCTGAGCAACTGTATGTTTTAAATAATTTTGAAACCAGCCAAATGATGACTTAAACTGCTTCTATTTTCACATGGACTATTATATATTTCAATTTGAAAAAAATCCCAGACATCGTGTCCAAAAGTGATCCGTTTGGCGTGGAATCACTCGTTTACGTTTCTCGGAAAATTTTCCACGACTCATTGCCATCTTCGTTTATTCGCTCTGTAAGAACTAACAGGCTCGTTGCTGGAAACGATAACAGGAAATGAAAAAGGCTTACCTGTCCATGTTATTCTGCAGCTCGACCTTTATTGGACTATTCCCTGTAGACTGATTCTTGTTGTTGTACTCATTCTTCGGTATCTCTGTAAAAAGACAAAACAGAACGATAAAGAAAACTTTTTATGTGGCAGGTTGATGAATTTCTCGTGGGAAATGATACCCCAGTTCCCCGCCTGAGTTTTATCCACCATCTACATGTAATATCTTTACGTTGCCTTTCGACATTTCTACACGCGAAATAATTCATCTACATGGACGTTCGACCGTTCGCAATTCGAAACAAAAATACATGAGCTGCGGATGTAATTTATTGGAACTTCAAATCTTAGTAAACTATTTTGAATTATATATAATTTAGTATCTTATTTCAGCATGATGTATTGTGGTTATGCGAAGGGATCGATAAATCGCGGCAAATCGTACTCGCCAAACACAAACGAAACTCGACCGCCTGAAAAAGACACAATTTTTAACACTTTGACATCAAGCATCTGTGACAGAAATAGTTTCTCCCGCCATATGTAGTTGTTAATAATAACATAACTACCTTCCCTTACCCATAAATTTTCGAAATATAGGTGTAACAGGTTATTAAGAATCGAACTCAGAAACGCTGAAATTTTTAGTCGCCAGGCGATCGAATTTGTCAAGCCCTAATTATATGAACTCTGGATTTAATTTTCCTCCAATTAAGCTTCAACTGGGAGTAAAGTTTAAGTTACAATTTCGTAAAGGATTATGCGTTATCTTGAAACATACTCTAAGGTGCCATTAAAATCTCTGAAAATAATATTTTTACTGTTTTTCTTATTTTCATGAAATAATTTATGTATAATTTTGGGGCACTATGCGTATACTGATATGTAAGTAGAATAAATAAAGTAATAGCATGTTTTGGATTGCGAGAAGCTCCGTGACGTCGGGCGAGTCAGTCGCACGCAACACGCGGCTCGCGTACAGGCAGCGTCTTCAATAATCGTTGACTGAATTTGGCGATTACCGGCTCGTGCTTCTCCGTTTTCGCGCAATCAACGTCTAGGCCATTTGTGGGCCACCTCGCATGATTAACACCCCGTCTCCTTCTAACAGACTCGCGCTCTTTGTGCGACAAGCGTCCATCCTTGTCGCACTCACCGTTCAGTTCTGTTGTCATGCGAGGTGCCTACGTGACTTGTGACACGACACCTGACCCGGATTACCCTTAATCCAACGGTAATCCAATTATTGGGTAATTAGCAACGGAGATAAACGGTGCTCGCTAGACGCGTTATTCTTTGGCCTGCTACGAGTCAGTCACTAGGCTACCCATGACTATACTCGCGACGTGATATAATCATGGAAACGCCGCTTAAGTGTTATTCGTTTATTGTTTAAGTAATGTGTTATTTAAATTGTCATACGTACATTTTGTCTGGTAATAAATGTTTAATTGTAAAACCCTACATGGAGCAAAACATTACGAGACTATTAAACGCTCTTTGTACATGGCACATTATAGATTATTGATAATAAGATATTGACTGTTTCCATAGGGCAGCAGACATCTGTGTGAATAAGTTCCAGGATTGAACGGGATTAATGATTAGATGTTTCTGGAAACGGTACACGCGTCATCTTTCCTTTTATACTTTTATCCCAGTAACCATATTTTGTTTTATTAATTCTTGTATAGCTTCGGGGTTTCTATGATCTAATTTCCTATGCCAAACGTGCTGGGAATGGTAGTGATGCTGACCTGCTGCCAGTAAAGCCCTCTGTATAGTCCTCAATTTATATAAGTCATCTGATAAATCTCCAATAGCTATTACATCTTTTCGTTTGAGTATTTTACAAAAAAAACCTTCAAATATTATTTGGAAGCCTCTTTCATTTAGTTTACTTACAGATAAGTAATTACCATTCAATGCAGGAACATTTTTTACAGGAATGACTAAGTCTACATTTTTGTTGGCAATACATTTTAACTCACCTGTGATATTGGGTTCCTACAAGACCATATTCGAGCAATTTTGCACGAAGCATGGTGTGAATAATTCAAGATTAAAAATCGTTTATTTATAATGGTATACAACGCTTGTATGACACTCTGATCCGATTACAGGGCTTCAGAACTACGGTGGCGCTCCTAATGTGAAAACCCAATTCAATCATAAATTACTACAGAATTTTAAGTGAATGTTTCAAAGAAACGGTGTTGGGCATCGATAAATTTAACGAATTAATTTATAGGTTGTAACCATAGACATATATAATAGACTGCGCGGACTTATGGTAGGGATGAAGCGAGACCGCAGAACAGAAGTAGCGCTGAAGTAGCTCCTCTCTTGCTCGCACATCGCAGAGAGAGGGGAGAAAGCGACTGGAGGGCGATGAGGAGAAGGAATGCTGCGCGCATGTGTATGTATAATAATGCATCCACTATTGTCGTCGGAGAATCCTTCACCACAGTTCCATTAGAAAGAGAGGAAAACTGCTCCAGTTATTGCCCTCTCTTTCTACCGACTTCATCCCTACTATAAGGCCGCGCAGTCTATTACACAGGGAGTAACAAAAATGTTGGAGGATCCGAAAATGAGAGACTCGTAAAGTGGGGTTTTTCGTTAATATCTCGTTAACAAAGTCTCAGACCTCAGATAACATTTTTGCTTAGGAAAAACTTCTTTTATATTACCACAGGAGTCTCCTATTTTCGGGTCCTGCAACATTTTTGTTACACCCTGTATATATCTATGGTTGTAACACTTCATAAATTGGATAGGTTGGATTAAGTTATCCTAAAAACTCACTTGGTATACTGTAGAAGCCCCCGGACGACGTGCGTACGAGACAGGACGGTTGAAGGTCAGGATCGCGTTCGTGGTCGCTAGCTGCGTGACTTCCTGGCAATCTTCCGTTGACGCGACTCATTGTAGGGTTACGAGGTGGTACATCGGGTGGGCCCCGTGGCGCCGAATTGTCTAACAAACACCCTACAACAAAACGAAAAGGACACGTGTAATGTATTTGAGTTTCCAGAAATACATTGGATTTCTTATGATTTACGATATACCGTTTACCGTTTCCCGCTACAATTTACAATTTACCATTTACTGTTTAATGAAAAACTATTATTCAAACAGAACTTCCAAATGTGTTGTTCAATTCGTCTTGAGCTGTTTAATAACTTGGCAATAATAAAAATATGCAGCTTCATTTTAAATTATTTATCATTTTAAACGATTTTAATTATCATTATTTTTCATTTTAATAATTACATTGTTATTAAAAGCACAGTAAATAACAATTAAAAAGAAATTCAATATCCTATTACGTTTGTTCCATGAAATCAAACAACTTTTGTATAAAACATGTTTTGCGAAGCGAAGGAAAAAAATATTGTCTGCAAGTGTAATATTTCCCGAGACCAAAAGTTGTTTATACGCCGTTCCGCTGCCCCCCCCCCCATGGTGAGCATGACGCCTGGACAATAATCGCGGATCAACAATCAGTCAATAATCGCGAGGTCCCTGTATGCATTAAAAAGCTGAATCCTATGTTATATTTAAAAGCTGTGAAACATAACCTGAAATGTGGTACTTAATTAACTATTACAATATTGCGATTAATCATGTTTCTTTTGCGTCCTTTTTATTAAGTATAAGTATAAGCATATAACACCTATATAAATTATGTCAATAAATGATAACTGAATATCATTTCAAACAACGGATTCGTATTGTATGCCATGTTTTTTGTAGATGGAATACCGAGAATATATGGTGTCATTTTTACAATTTGTTTCTCGGGAATACGATCATCAAAAAATAAGCATCATTGCAAGTACGAATAGAAAAGTTTTATCGTTGCACAAATTAGTACGTAAGTATTGTTTCATTCTCGAATGTCTTTCGCTCGCGCCATTCTTTTCGTACGTTCGGCAAGAATCGAAATCTCACCACGAGCCATGGGTATTCCATCCTTCTCCTGGTGGGCAGAATTCTAATGGGGGACATGAGGCAACAGCGTAAGAAAACTGTCGATACGGTCCGGCAAAAATGCCTTCGCGTAGGAGATACTCAAAACCAAATTGATGGTAACGGGGAACAAAATTTATTTGTAGGTACTGCCGTTAAATGTCGTATCATCAAGCCGTCCCAGTTATCGATTATGTGCTTTTGCTGGCGCCCGATTGTTTACATCGTCGCTTCGATCGATTCAGAGTTGGTTCCGAAGGAGTCTCCCCCCTTAACGTAGACGTAACCCAAATCTTATTTCAAGTAGCGCAGGCGGTTAGCTGCAATCTAACGTCTTCGTGCCGATCTTCGATGGTTGCACAGGAAAAAGACGTACACTTAAAAAATAGAGAAAGTTTCCGAGGGGAAGGGAAAACCTTTTCCTCGACAAGTAAAATTATATACGCGACCGTGCGACGACTCGATGCTAAATAGACTCGTAAGCCTGCAACGCAGATGTTTTATTATCCTTGTGTCTAAGAACATGGTCACTCGAAACCCTTGATTTTAGCAGAGGAAACATTTCTTCGGCTTTAAGGAAAAACTTTTCATTCACGTCCTGCCCGCTATAATGCCAGCAAAATTCTGTAAGTGCAAACAAAATTGTTGCTGAACGATATCCATATTGATCTCAGCCTGCGCGACGAAAATTTCAAAATGTGAGTGATAAACTTAGGCAAACCGGTAGTTTAAATATTTCTAAAAGTGAATGCCGAAAAAGAGTAACCAACAAAGAAAATAAAATCGGTGTGCTCGCAAGTGTGGCTACGAATCTTCATATTAGTTCGCGACATAATTGCACACGAATCTGGCATTAGTAGGAGGAGCGTACTTCGAATTTTGCAGCGTCACAAATTTCATCCATACCATGTTAATCTTCACCAACAACTGCATGGGAACGACTTCATGAACCTCATTGAATTGTGTCGATGGACTAAACTTCAGATCCAAAACAATGAGTTATTTAGGAGTTTAGGTTTTTTAATACCGTCTTATTGACTGACGAGGCAACATTCACAAATCACGGGAATGTTAATTTGTATAACATGCATTTATGGGCAGCGGAAAATCCACATTGGCTGCGACAGGTTGAAAGCCAGAGACAATGAACGTTTGTTGCGTTATCACAGACAATAAAATTATTGGTCCTCATTCTCTCAATGGAAGAATTTATTAGGGATCCAAGTCCAACCACTGGATCATTTACCTTATACAGTGATCGTTCCGCTGGAGGGGTCGACAGGCAAGGCGCCTTCTTTTTCGTTCAAGTGCCGCGACCATAAACGTGTCATCGATGGGTTACTCCAGCTGAGCGATCTACGTGTGTGACAGAGACAGAGCGAGATTCGTCATTGGTCTGTCGCTGTCACACATATAGGCTGCTCAGCAGACAGCAGTGGACGCTAGCGACTCTGAAGCAGGCCATATACACGGTGAGGTTTATCTCGAGGCCTGGCCTCATGAGGTCGCCTCACGTTAGGGGTGCTGGGTCTATCGAAGCCTCCTTGTCTGTAATCTGTAGCGGGATGGTAGGGGCCGTGCCGAACGCAACGAAGACTCCCGAAAGGAGCTTCGGGTGATGTGCGTGAGTGAGAAGGCTGAGAAAGAGTCACAAATGATGAGGTGTGTGGAGCGTGCAAGAGCGAGCGACAGCAGAATGTATATGTATCTAGTATTAATTTTCACTGAACTATTTCAGTATAGTTTTGAATTATCCATGAAAGTGCTGTTCTTTGAAACAGAATATTCTACAGTAGTACGTACCATAGACATATATAGACGGAGCATGAACTGAGCGGGGGAGTAAGATTCGCGGTAAGGGGTTGGTTAGTTATAAATCGGGTAACTTCGCTCCTTTTCGGTGCTATTCGGGTATACAATCACGTTACATACATGTGTGCTATGAGAGATGAAAAGAATATACTTATTATACGTTAAAAATTCCGTATGTCAAGTAGTTTGTATAGATATATGTATTTAACAAAATTAATAAATAGTATAAAGCATAAAATAATACTACGGTACACAGCCCACCAGCCATTAATAACGAGCCGAATCGAGCCGAATGCATCTGAAGCTAATCGACGTAAAATGGTAGCTTATGCTCCGTCTATGTATATCTTATGGTACGTACATACGAAAAAAGGTTGCACTTGTAGGT